CATCTCTGGCATCATAGGACAGGTTACATTCAAAACAGGCACACTGAAAATCATGTGTAAAAATCATCTCCAGGCTGTGTTTACATATAGCAAATGAATCCTGTGGTTAGAATTAGATCCCACCCTTAAGATAGCATGTTATATCTATGCAAATGACATGGTCTGCATCTTCTCATTCTTGTTACTTTCCCCCTGCCTTTACCATTGTAATTGCAGTCTCATGAACAGCATATGTTTTAGTAATGTTTTTATTGCCTCTCTCAACCACTTATTTAGGTTATCTTTAATGTGATTAACAATAGCTATGGCTTTAGTTTGCTGTGTTATTTTTTGCTGCTGTTCTGTCCTATGTCTCCTGTGTTTTGTTTGAACTTTTTTTTACCATTGCATTTTCACTTGTCTGCAGTGTTTTTTACCATATCTCTTTGTCTGGATTTTTAAGTTGTTGGTTGCTCAAGGTGTATTATATATGCACAGCTACTCACAGTCTGGCAGTGGCATTTTATCACTTTACATCCTTTTACAAATCTTGCTACCACTCCTGATTTGTAATGTAACCACCTTAAAATTTAATCTCTTCTACTTGCATTTGAAGCCACACCAGAGCTATCCTTTTGTTTCAACTGTTAGATATAACATAGAAAACTCAAGAGGGAAAGGCACATATTTAGCTTTTGCCATCAACTCAATACAGCTGGGAAGAAGAATCCTTAGTTGAGAAATTGTGTTAGTTGAATTGGCCCAAGGGCATGTTATTGGGGCAGTTTAATTGCTAGTTTATATAGGGAGGACATCCAGTGGAGGGGTGATGCCATCCCTAGGTAGGTAGGCCTGGGTTTGGTAAGAAAGGTAGCTGAGCAAGCCAGAAACCAGCATTTCCTTCATGGTCTCTGATCTATTACATCCCCTTGATGATGCTGTAATCTTTAAGCTAAAATAAACCCCTCCCTCCCTAGGTTGGTTTTGGTCAGTTGCTAGTCAGGGTTCTCTAGAAGAATAGCACCAGTAGTATGAATACATATGTCCATCAGTTAAGGCAGTCAAGACTTCTTCAACAAGGCTCTTTAGTTGGGTGATTCTGATCTGTGGACAGTTGATGTTAAAATCAACTGTAATGGTCACAGTAATGGAGAAGCAAACTAGGACAGCAAGCCTAATGCATTTATTCAGACTTTTGCCTACAAAGTTCATCCTTCATTATTTCAGCTCATTGCTTTTTATTTCATTTTCATTATATCTGGAGAACCTCTTCAGATATTCTGAGACATTAAATTCTTTGGGGTTTTGTTTGTTTGTCACCTGAGGATATCTGGATTTTTTTTTTTTTTCCATCAAGGAAAAGGGCTATTTTCCTTGAATTTGGTGTGTGTTTTCTTTTTTCCCAACAGCATTTGATAAGGGTGTGCCTTTCTAGTTTCCAAGTTTTCTGGTGAGGTGTGCTTTTATTCAGATAGTTTTTTTTTTTTTCCATTACTGACAAAGTGTAATTTCTCTCAGCTGCTTTCAAATTCTGTTTGTTTTCAAACATTTAATGTCTGTGTAAATTGCTTTGAGTTTCTACTGCATCAAGTTGGCTCACTTCTGCAGTCTGTTAGATAAATGTCTTTGGCAAGCAGCAGAACTTCCCAGCTACTTTTCCTATGAATATTTTGTTTCTCTCTCTTCTTTTTCCTTCTGCAACTCCAAAGACATAAATGTTAGACCTTATATTATAGTCCCCAGGTTTTTAGAGAATGCACTTTGTTGTCTGTGTTTGGCGGGGGATGAGTTTATACTTTCTATGTCTTTTATCCTAATGTTTGCAGTTTTTTGTTTGTTTTGTCTTACTTCTCCCTCAGTTTCACTATTAAGCCCATCTGTTGAATTTCTATATTGGTTATTTTATCTTTTGGGTCTAAAATTTCAATCAGTTTTTTATGGCTTCTTTTCTTGCTGAGAATATCACATTCTTGGCCCTTCCTAGAATCCTCTGAGCTGCCCCACCTTCCCCTTTCAGCCTACTCTGACAGGGAGAGGTAGGAGGCATGAGGAGGATGGACGGCATTGAGTGCCTGTGACGATAAGTCTTTACTCCATCCACCCAAGCCCCGCCGCCACGTGGGCGCCCAGAATAACACACTGAGTCTTATATTAGTTTACAGTGCTGCTGGCCAATTGACTAGGATTTCTTATATGGTAGCTCAGTCTTAATTATCAACCATAATCATAAGACTTATCTTATGGAGGATGCCTTCCGCTGGCATGGCGGCTCTAGAGAGAAGAGCGCAGGAGGAAGAGGAATGGCAAGAGGAAGCACCCTGCTTATATTCTGAGTCTGCCTACTATGTCACTTCCTGCCTGGATCTCTGCTACATTTCCCAGAATCCTCCTTGACTCCTAGTCCCTCCTAACTTGCTTCTTCATTGGCCAACAGTACTTTATTCAATAATCAGTAAGATATACACAGAAGGACATTCCCCATCAAGTGCCCTTTGCAAACAGGTGAGACTAGAGGTCTAGGTTCCCAGCTTGACTTTTACTGGAACAGATAGGGGATTGGCTGCCAGTTTTCGTGTAGAGTCTGATAAAACAGGATGTTTAGTATATAAATGTGTCTGTCTTCCTGAGCTGCTTTTTACCTTGTGTACCCCTTGCCTAGGAAAGGTCTTGAAGAACTGGTATTTCTTATCTAGCAGAGTTTTGCCTGTGCCAGTTGCATCTCTGCTACCTGCTCCTTTCTTACAACTTAGGTTAGGTGTGTTTGAGACAAAAGGAAATCCAGGAACTTCGTTGTAGTATTCAATGGCTCCCCAAAACCCGAGCCCTTCTGCTGTCCTTTTCCTGATACTTAAGAGTCAGCTTTTGCTCACTTATTTATGTATTATGTCCAGAGTTTTTAGTCTTACTTAGCAGAGGGAATGGGAAAGTACAACAGCTCCATTTCTTGAAAGGGTTTGCTGGGTTTTTGGTTTGAGTTTTTTCTTTTTTAATCTTTGTGATTTTCTGAAAGTATATTTTCCCAGTATCTCTGCCATGATAAACTTTAGTTACCTTGTTTTAGAAGGCTTTAAAGTAAGATCAGTCAACCAGTCACTAGATGCTGTATAACAAAACTTTAACATGGTTCATTTAATTTTAGTCAAATATAGTAAAATTGATCTTGTATTTTGGCAGAGTTTTTCAAAAGCATTACATTAAAATAGATATCAAAATTTTTATTCCAGTGCAGCTTAATGATAAAACAGTCCTGGAGTTGTTATTTTAATTTTAAAGTAACTATAATTGTTAATGGTTTTGCCAATTATAGGTAAGATCTATATTTATTTCAGATCAAAATAAAAATACACAGTCAGCAAAGTTTTAGTAGGTAAAATTTCCAGTACAGTATCCCATTATCTTATTTTTATAATGAAAATAATGGGTATTTTAAAACTCTTACTATAGAGTAGTTAACTGTCATCAGTTAAGGATCTGGTTTTGTTTTGTTTTGTTTTTTTTCCTTTGGTCAGAAGTCTACCCTAAAACATGCCTTATTTCTAAGGCTGTAAATCCTTGTTATTTTATTAGCCAATTCTTTGTTTTCTCTCTTAAATAAACTTAGCAATAAGGCCAACCTAGAAAAGACTGTAGATGAGAACCTCCGACCAAGTCTTTCTAGAGTAAACCTTCACAGATTGTGGAACACTCCAAAAGAAAAAGTCTGCACAGAGTAGAAGGCTCTTCCTTCCTGACTTGAGGGACCTTGCCTTACAACAGGCTGAAGCTAAATTAAAGCCAAATTAAACCTTATGGTCTAGAGGCCAGCTTGATTGAATAATTTTAGTTGAATCTTCTTTCTTTTGCCAAAAGTCTGGGAGATGGTCTCTTCAATTCTGAGACTCATGATGGGATGAACCCTTTGCACATGAAATCAGTTTCTCTAGTGGCAAAGAATGAACACTAGTGGTGTGTGTCAGAGGTATCTTTATACTGTCCCATCCTTGCCAGCACCTCTAAGCATTGTGTTCTTCACAATTTCAGTAGAAGGATTATGTTATTATTGTTTTAAAATAATATATAATTAATGTGCATTTTTAATTTTTGCCAATGTAGCACATGTATTATTCATACATGTCTAGTTAACTAACGTGTGTGTGTGTGTGTGTGTGTGTGTGTGTGTGTGTGTGTGTGTGTTATGTGTGTGTGTTTAATAGCATTAGCTATTTTGTGTGTGGGCCAGGGCAGTATATGCCTTAGGTCAACATAGGGTATCTTCCTCTATTGCTCTCCCCTTTATGCTTTGAGGCAAAGTCTCTTCTTGAAACTAGATGAATGAAAAAAAAAGAAATAAAAAAGGAAGGATATGACTGCTTCTAGGTATGGTGGAGTAAGTAAAAGGAGAGCATAGAGGCAGAGATCTGGGAGAGTACAGAGTGGCCATGAGCAGGACATGTGAGGAGAGGAGAGAGGGGAGAGCCAGGAGATCAGGAGAGTGAAGCATAGACAAAAGGGTCAGGTAGCCAGAATGACTGGACTATACAGCCTCTGGGGGAAGGCAGCCCAGCCCCTGGGCTGGGGAATTCGGGATAGATGATGGGGTGTGCCAGCTATACCCTTTAACAGGTAGGTACTGAGGGAGGCTGGGAGAATCTGATGGCCAGGTTCTCTGATATGTTGAATAAATGTTAGTCATTTATTCCAGGTTTGAGAACTAACACTGAGGTTTATCAATTAGCTGGACTGGTTGGCCTACAGGAACCTGGAATCTTCCAGTCTTCACCCTCAGCACTGGGATTGCAACCACATCTGGCTTTTTACATGGGTGCAGGGGATCTGAACTCAGGTCCTCATGTTTGCTTGGGAAGCACTTAATCTACTGGGCCATCTCCCTAGTTCCTGGTGTCTGTTTTTTAAATCATTGGTGCCTGTTTTAATTCTATGCATTTTTTGTGATTCTGTTTTGTACATCCATTTTAAAATTTCTCAAAGTACAAATTTTAGGGATGCTGTGCTTTATCCTTATAAGTTCTCTCCTTTTGCAGCATCAGCCACTATGTGATTGTCATGTCCATGACCATCTTTCTGGTATTTCTTAATGGCCTGGCACAACTGCTCACAACAAAGAAACTCCAACTGTGTGGCAAACCCAAAAGCCATCTCCTGTGATGTTGGTGAAGCCATCAGTCAACATCTGCATTCTGATTCTCCTTAAAGAAAATCCACCAAGGATTCAAGAAGATGGATAAAAGTGCTTGTTGCACAAGGCTGACAACTTGAGCTCAATCCCTGGAATCCATGGTGATAGGAGAAAACAGACTCCCAGAAGTTATCCTTTGGCCTCCATGTGCATGCTGTGTGGCCCCCACCTCCCACCTCCCACGATAACATTGCATCTATGAAAGAAGATGGATGCTAATTCATATTCTCCTTTAGAGAATGTTTCATCTGGAATTCTGGATTATAGGTGGTCTGACATAATGGAGCTTCCTTTTTCTTTCAAGTTCCTTTGTGACCATTTCCAAGGAGTTTCTTTTCTCTCTAGGTTTTGCAGGCTTGAAATGATGATTGTATCTTACAATGTCATTTGTTTTTTATCATCATTTGTAAAGCATCCTTTGTTTTTATTTTGTCTGGCAACTTTTTCCCAGTAGTGTTTGAGAGCACCTGCCACCCTTTATGCCTCATAATGCAATCATCCAAAGGATGCCCCTGTGCAGGACAGTACTGACACTCTCAAAGTCATCACTGTGGAGGGCCTGAATGGAAACCACTAGTTACAACATAAACATCTGTCAGCCCCATTATGGGGCTGCTTTTGTAGTAGTTCTGACTGCTCCAGCATGTGATGAGTAAGACAGGTGGGGCCCGCAATCTGGGATTTACTGAACCTCACTGGGAAGCTGTCTGCCCAGCTTTGCTATTTCTGTGTCCTCAGTATGTTGGCTTGTGCCTCTCTGTGATGCTTCTACGGTTCTCATAGACAGCCAGCTAGATGAAGTTTCCACCTTTACCTTCTGTCCATTTCTGGTCATCTTAGAATTTCTGGGGACTCTGTCTTTGTTGGTTATTATTTCAACCTCATTCCCCAAACCAAAGGCTATAGTTTCCTGACAGTATCATAAAGACTCAAAATTACTCTTTTGATCTTGATGTTTTAGTTAGACCAAAGGCCTATAGCCATCTAACTAGATTTAGATTTCCTTTTGTATATTCCAATGAATGAGATAATTTGAGAGTAATTTTAATTTGGGTTTCCCATACAGTGACCTATATAGTATAGAGTTGCCTATAGAATGATGTTAAGTGCTTGGCTCATATTTTGCTGGTATGTATCCCATTTTAAAAAACAATTGGTTTTGATTCAAGTTATACTATTACTAGTCTGTATTAGTGACCAGAAAGCTGCTTATAAATTACTAAATGTTTTCAAATTGGCAGGTGAGTAAACATAATCTAGGAGAGTAAGCTCAAATGAGCAAAATATAATTCAATTTCTACGTATGATGAAGTCATAATTTATTTATGATCATGCCTCCTGATATGGCAGGGAACACATTATAGTATATTGAGAGAAAAGTGCTGGTCCTAATACCAGCCTCAGCACCACTGTGTAAGAGTCTAGACGGCAGCTAAAAAGCTGCTGCAGCAGTGCTAACCCTGGAAGAACAAGGACCCAGCTGCCTTCCTAGACCCTCAGGTAACTTCTCATCCCACTATGTATACACCATTTACCTTTGTGCAATTTGATTTACATTCCTCCTCTACAGAGGAATCAATACATTGTTAAAGGTTTATTTTAAGTGTGTGTGTGCACACATGCATGCACATGTGAGCACAGGTTGTTAGATCCCTGAAGCTGTAATTACAGGTTGTGAGATGCCTGATATGGGTGCTGGAAACCAAAGTCAGGTCCTTAGCAGGAATAGTTTTTTGTTTGTTTGTTTGTTTGTTTGTTTGTTTTTAAAGTACTGAGACATCTCTCCCAACTCCAGAGTTAATATTTTTATAACAGCACTGTAAAAGGTGCTTCCTGTCTTATGTCTTTTTTTCATTATGTATTACCTTTAGGTTGGCTCTAATTTATAGAAGGCAATGCTTCTGCAGCAATAACTCTCCCTGCTGCACTGTTTAAATTAGGAAAAGCTTTTAGAAGTAGGAATATATTGGGCATGGTGGCAGATGTCTGTAATCCCAGCACTTGGGAGGTATAGGAAGGAGATCATGAGTTCAAGGATATAGAAAGTTAGAGACCAGCCTGGGCTATAAAACCCTGTGTTGAAAAGAATTAAAGTTGGCATCTCAATTTGAAAAAAAAAAATTAAAATAATGAATGACAGAGGAAAAACATACTGTGTTAAATGAATCATGACTAAATCTTGGATACTAATTTACCAATAAATTCTTTGTATTTTACTATTTAGTGTATAAAGTCTTAGAACACAAAATTCCTTCTTCTATTTTAGAAAAATTATATTACAAACGGTGTGGTGACACAGGCCTCTGTATAATCCCAGGGTTTAGGAAGCTGAGGAGGAGGATCACATGTTCAAGGCCAGTGTAGGTCGATTACCAAGTCCAGGGTAGCATGCATTATGTGAGGCCCCATGTTAGGAAACAATGAGGTGATGGTAGGGGACTGTTGTACTATATGTGAAGAATGACATAACCCATTTGTCAGTGACAGAACTGAACTGGACAGTGACTCATCAGTTATGGTGCACTTCTCATGAAAAGTGCACTCCAGATTTCAGGCTGTTCACACAGCAGCCCTCTTCTTGTTGCCATCTGCACTTTACATACTGTCAGTAGTAAAGAGTTTCTTTGTTCCTCCTTTTGAAACTAGTTTCTGATGCTACTCATTCAGGGGGTGGTGAAGGGTTGCATAGTCCTGCCTCTAGAGACAGGCAGAAGCTGTGTCCCCTCTCCTGATGGGAGCCATGTGAGCTCCATATACTTTTAGATGCCATCTCATCAGGAGTCTGGAGAGAATAAACCAACTCAGTAATGGAGAGGACCCCCTATCTGACTAGTGCTCAGAGGCCCTTTAAGAGACCAGAGGTAGCCTGACTGACATCTCTCCTTTCCTCAATAGTTCTTTATGTCAGCAGTGCCCTCATCCCCTCTAAATGCTTCCTAGTGTTCATGCTCATTGTACCACATGCTCTCAGTATACTGGTAATGTCTTCGTAGCATTTTCTATTTCTACACTGGTGTAGTTTATAAAAATATTTTTCTGAATGTAATTCTATAAAGAAAATTTTTTAGGTGTATGTCACTAATTTTCTCAAGTACACTAAAAATGGATTGGGTTACTGATGGACTCACCATTAGAATTGTAGTATTTATGTGTACAAATAGTGTCTTGAAGATAATTTCAAAGCATCAATTGTTGGTGAATAAATACATGATCATAAAAGGTTTCCCTGATGAAGTATTTGGGAAACATCTAGGTGAGAAAAGGTTTAAAGGTGCATTTATTTTGGTAGCCAATGAAGTCCATTTCTGCAGGATGTCCATGCCCACAACTTCCACATGCTGCAGACTTTCCCCCTCTACATGGGTAAGCATATTTTACAAATTTCTTCATGTAGTTTTTCCGCACAATTTTCACAAAAGGGTGTTGTACATATAGTTGAATTTTTCCCCTTGCAACTGGCAAAGCATATTTATTATAATCGTTAAACTGGGTAAACTTCAGAACATCCTGGGGATTTTGCCTACGTATCACTGTCTGTCCATTTTACACCCTCAGCCTGAAAAACATAGTCACAACCCTCAGCTTGTTTTCTTGTGATCCTACACTTTTAAAAGCATAACTTTGGTCAAAAACTGTGAAAACAAGATCAAGGAAGCTCAGATCCCAGTATGGGTGGCAGAGGGATCATACCCTCTTCTGATCCCCTATTGACAAAATATGGCTGCAGGGGGAGGGGCAGTCTGCTTGTGTTCCTGTAGATGGTCCTACACCCACTGTAGAGAGCTGCGTGAAAGATGGCGCCGGCTTCTGCTTTCTGCTAGCCCAACAAGCTTGCTCTCTGTGGTAAACAACTCCATTTATGGCTTGATTTGAGGCTTGGCTTTGCTTCTCTGTGTGTGTGTGTGTGTGTGTGTGTGTGTGTGTGTGTGTTGTACCTGTGGGCATTCGCCACGTGGCTTGCTGGGGTTGGCTACCCAAGAGCAATTTAAGTTGAGGGCGGGCTTTCCCTGGGGTCAGAAGATTGTTTCAGGTTCCTGAATAAACTGCTTAAGGAAGAGTCTCAGCGTTGCGTCTTCCTTGCTGGTCGAGGCTGTCTCAATAACCCATGAACATACAGGTACCACTAGTGGATGTATTTTTTTAAAAGGAGCTCATGAAGATGGGAGAGAAAACTAGTGAGGGGTAGATGTTATATTTGATAAAAACATTATATGCATGTATGAATAGTAAAATACTTCAGAAAAACAAAAATATTTTTGTGCAAATACCAAGCTGTTTTCAGGACTATAGCTCTATAATAGAGCTTGAAGTCAGGAATGGTGATACCTCAGGAAGTTCCTTTATTGTACATGGTTGTTTTGGCTGTCCTGGGTCTTTTGTTTCTCCATATAAAGTTGAGTATTGTTTTTTTAAGGTCTGTGAAGAATTGTGTTGGGATTTTGATGGGGATTGCATTGAATCTATAGATTGCTTTTGGCAAGATTGCCATTTTTACTATGTTGATACTACCTATCCAAGAGCATGGGAGATCTTTCCATTTTCTGGTATCTTCTTTAATTTCTTTCTTTAAAGACTCAAAGTTCTTGCTATACAGGTCTTTCACGTTTTTGGTTAGTGTTACCCCAAGGTATTTTATGTTGTTTGTGGCAATTGTAAAGGGTGATGTTTCTCTGATTTCCTTCCCAGCCCAGTCATCATCTATATATAGTAGGGCTACTGATATTTTTTTTTGAGTTAATCTTGTATGCTGCCACTTTGCTGAAGGTGTTTATCAGCTGTAGGATCTCACTTTGTAAACTATCATATCATCTGCAAACAGTAAAAGTTTCACTTCTTCCTTTCCAATTTGTATCCGCTTGATCTGCAATCCCCACCACCAGAGAAGCTAGAAACAATTCATGGTCCCTAGGAGAAGGGAAAAAGATCTCCTGAGCAAATTGGGAGCATGGGGGGAGGGGAGAGGAAGCTATGAGAATGAGAAGGGGAGAAGAGAAGGGGTGAGGAGGACAAGAGGGAGCAGGAAGATTTAATGGGGGGAAGAATAGAGGAGAGCAAGATAAGAGATACCATAATAGAGGGAGCCATTATAGGTTTAAAGAGAAATCAGGCACTAGGGTAATGTCTGGACATCAACAAGGATGGCACCAACTAAGAATCTAAGCAATAGAGGAGAGGCTACCTTAAATGACCCCCCCATAATGAGATTGATGACTAATTTATGTGCCATCTTATAGCCTTCATCCAGCAGCTGATGGAAGTAGAAGTAGACACCCACAACTAATCACTGAACTGAACTAGAATCCAGGTGCAGAGAAGAGTGAGTGATGAGCAAAGGGGTCCAGACCAGGCTGGTGAAACCCACAGAAACAGCTGACCTGATCAAGGGGGAGCTCTTAGTCCCCTATTGATAGCTGGGAAACCAGCATAGGACTGCTCCAGACCCCCTGAATGTGGGTGTCAGTGAGGAGGGGGGGCCTCTTGTAGTACTTATCCCTAGCATAGGAATGGACTTTGGGAGCCCATTCCACATAGAGGGATACTCTCTCAGCCTAGACACACAGGGGAGGGCCTAGGCCCTATCCTAAAGGATAAGACAGACGATGAAGACCCCTCTATGGAAGGACTCACCCTCCCTGGGGAGCAGAAAGGGTATGGAATAGGTAGGGTGTTAGTTGAGGGGGGAGGGAGGAGGGGATGGAGAGGGAACTGGGATTGACATGTAAAACAATCTTGTTTCTAATTTAAATTTAAAAATGGAGAAAAAAGAACAAAAATAATGAAAATACCAGTTTTAAGAATTCCTAATAGCTGGGCGTTGATGGTGCAGGCCTTTAATCCCAGGACTAGGGAGGCAGAGGCAGGTGGATCTCTGTGAGTTTGAGACCAGCCTGGTCTACAAGAGCTAGTTCCAGGACAGCCTCCAAAAGCCACAGAGAAACCCTGTCTTGAAAAACCAAAAAAAAAAAAAGCCTATAATTGCTAAAATTTCGAATATTACTCTTAGATGAACAGGTAATTTCTTTTCATGTGATGATTTAATTAGGTTGGCTTGCATCCTGTATCAGCAAGTAGCAATGATTCTATGATGTTTCTTTGGATATCTGGTCTGATTATATAGCCAAAACTTGCCTCAGAGTTGTGATCCTGTGCCTTGGTTCTGAGTGCTAGCATTACAGATATGTGCCATCATGCTACTTAAGTTAGTTTTAGTCTAATATATTCAGTGGACTTGGAAAATGTGATTGACAAGGATACTTGTCAACCCTTACAGATACTTTTACCTTCAAAGTGTTAATGTTCCTAAGATACCTAAGAATGTGTGATCAGTATTTTAATAGTTCCTGTGCCTGCTGAAGAGAAGTAACTGTCTTCAAATTTGAAACCAGAAAAATAAAATTCATTTTCCTGATGTGCCTTAGTTTATTTTTGTCCTATTGTAGGAATTATTGTAATTGGCTGTACCTTATAAGTCAAACATTTTGTGTACCACTTGAGGTTAGCATCAACAGTGAAAGCTGTGTTGATAGTATGCACATTGGGTATGCCATAAAGAGAGTGACGCCTTCCTCATGACACTTCACAACTCCTGTTTAATCCTAAGGAAAAATGGACATGTCTGAATTCAAGAAGAGTTACACAATACTCTACAAAAACCTGATGGATAATCTTCAAAACTGTCAAGGTCATCAAAAAATGAGAAAAGCCTGAAAAGTTGCCAGCAACATTAAGAGTAAGGAGACATGACTACTAAATGTTCTCCTGGATAGGATGCTGAAGCGGAGAGGGCTAAATAAGTCTAATATAGTGTGGACTTCAGAACTTTATTAACTATGAAAGCATACTTAGTATTAAGGCATTCAAGTAAAAACTGGGTGGGGGACTGTGTGGGAATTCTACCATTCTTGCAAATTTTCTAGGAAACTTTGAAAATAAAAATATTACTTGATTTTAAAGTTTTACTGTCTTCACAAATAACTTTATATAAATGAGTGTGGCCCATTAGATGATGAGATGGGAGGGAAACAATATGTTTCTTTTTCCTATTTTTCCCTTTCCTTGCTCCTCTTCTGTTCAACTATCACTCAGGCCTCTTAGCCATCTAAGTACTGGCTCAGCGGGTATACTAATGTGGTTTCTTCATGACTGTATAAATTAATGTACAGTGTGGTTTGCAGTGGGCAGCTGTGCTCTTGCTTAGCATTCTCATCTGGGGCAGCTGTGGCTTCCCTAAGCCTGGTGTCTCTGTAGGAGTCAAATGAGTTGCTTTGTTTATTTGTCTCTCCCCACAGTTAGCTAATTTACCAGTGTACATCTGACTCAGGCCAGTCCTATTTGAGTCATTGAAAGATTTTCAAGCTTGAATGATGAAAGTGTATGTTGAGTATGAGTGAGTTCATGTATGTGTCTGTGAATCTAAGCATTCATGGAGTCCAAAGGTCAACCTTGGATGGCTTTCCTCAGAAGCTGCCCACCTTATTTGAGACAGGGTCTCTCTTTGGCCTAGAGCTTACTTAGTAGGCGAGGCTGGCAGGCTGCTGAACTTAAGGGTATTGAGCATCTAGCTTAGCTCTTTATGCTAGTGGGGCAAGTACTCCATAAACAGAGACTTCTTCCAGGCTTCTTGGAACTGAGAAAATTTCAAATATAAAAATTGAGTCTTTGCAACCGCTGGAACCAGGTAAGACCCAAGGAGCCCAGCCTGGATTCCAGGCTTCAAGAAGAATGTCTCAAATGCCAACTATTTTCTCTCATTCAGATTCTAGGTTTCAGTTTTCATATTTATGCATAGTTGTAAATGCAGATGTAGACACTATGAAAGGGATTATTAAAGGAGAAAAGGTGTTGGAGAACGGGTAAAGGGCAATAGCATAGCATAGCATACACGTGACAGCAGAACTGGAGCAGCTAGGCACAGAGGAAAGAAATGGGGGAGAGAACCAACAAAAATTAAAATGTATAAAAGTGCTGTAATGAAATCCATTAAAAAAAAATCTCTGCTTGCCTCTTCAACTAAAAAAGTTACAAGGAGCTGGGGGATTGCTCAGTGGTTAGAGCACTGGCTGTTCTTTCAGAGTAAGAGGATTGATTCTCAGCTCCCACAGAGTGGTTCATGACTCATTTTCCAGGGAATCTGATACCACTTCTGACGTCTTTAGGCACCAGGCATCCAAGTGGTAAACAGACATACATGCAGGCAAAACATTCATACACATAAATGGTTTAAGAAGTTAATAAAATATTAAGGTGACAAGTGCTAAAAGACAAGTGTGTGAGTGTGCATGTGTGTTGCCTTTTTAGGTTCACAGCCTCCCAAGGAGCCCAAGTAGAATGGTATATGCAATAAAGGATTAAGTCAGAGCTCAGATGTCTGCCACCTGTGCATCCAGCCATAGCAGCCTTTCCACGGGACTTGAAGAAATTGCTCTGCTCTGCTTCCTGCTTGTGCTGGGTGTAAACCTGGATGTGCTCTGCACAGTGGCAACCAAAGTAAGATCTAGTCTTGTTTCCAGAGAACTCTCATGTTCAAAAAGATTAAACTAGCAAGTCAACCTGAACCGAATTCTGACTACAGAACCCAGACTTAACCACCACACCCTGCATGCGCCCTTGGGGATATCCAACTGCTCCTTGGGCATGCCTGAAAAATGGTTCTGTAGACAGAACAAAGCAGTTGACATAATGCATTTAGTTCTTGGTCTGTTCACAACAGTATGATAACTATTGTTGCCTTAATCAACATAATTAGGGATATGAATTAAAAGAACCCGTTGCCATAGTCAGCAAATAGCAAATACTCAGTGTCCTCTCCTTGCCAGTGACAGTGAGAATATAAAGTATAACTACTCAGCCTGGCCCTTGAGGAGCTTGCAGTAGAACGGAGAAGGTAGTCACTGTAAATGTTACATTTCTGAGGGGAAAGATTTTCCCAGTGGAGGGATTACAGCTCTGAAGGGAAAGGTATCCTGGCAGTCAGGAGTAAAGGAATACAACAAAGTCATACTGCACAACAAACCTCACACAGGAGATTTATTGGGAGAGACACAAGAAAGGTGGCTT